GTTATATGACGGCTATGACATTTCTACTTTTAAATAGAAATGTTGTAGTTTGTCTTTGATCAAAAAAAAAAAAGTACCTTTTATTCAGGATTGTTCTTCACCAGGTGAATGGGATTCAAACTAAAACTCGGTGAATTTTATTTCCTGCTCTGGTGATGATACTAAGATTCAACTTGAGAAGTCGATGGACTTGATTACCAAATCTGCGTTTGTCTTGGACTTGTTTATAAGCTCCGCATTTGGTCGGTCATTGTACTCTATCTGCACGGTAACAAGTAATGGAAATCAAAAGTTAGGCAATACTTGAAGGATAGTTAAGTTGGGAGCACCCACTCAATCAGATAAGCAGTAAAAAAAAACAACGAAGTCAAGCAGTAAAGCTTACCCTCCATTTAGCAATATCTGGGGGCTTTCCTACAATAGACAGCAAAAGGATAAGATCATTACATATTCCTCTATTCTTGCCATGCCTTTTCTTTTCGTAAAACTGATTAACCAACAATCTATAAGTACGTACCAGTTGATATGTGTCTCTTCAAAACCCGTTGCATTGCTTTGTCAATATCAACCTCAATGAACCTTTTAAAGGAAATCATAATTAAAAGTAAATAACATCAAATAACATCCACCAAAATAAAATTTGCACAAAAGCAAGGAGAAAAGGGCCAAAAAAAAGATCAAACCTCTAGGAAATTCATTGAGATAGTTACCTACTTATCTCGTTTTGTTTTTTTTTGGCAATGGGTATGCATGTTCGGCAATTAAAATTCCGAAGGAGTGGAAACTTGGTATATATCCAAGTTGAAAGATACAACATAAGTCTATCGATCCTAGCCATCTACCAAAACACCATTTTGAAACATTAAACTAGACAACATTCAGCCATGCAGTCCGTTTGAGGACAAAAACATTACGCCATGCTATACCTACATTAACATAAGCAGCAAAAATTGGCATTAACCTGAAAACTACATCAAAAGTCCATGCCCCTACATTCATCAACCACATATGAAAGGACTGTCGACTACCACATAAACTAGAAAGAGTTCTAAAAACAAAACTTCTGTTTTATCTTCTGGATATTTTATTTTTGTATCTTGGTAACACCAAGAGTTTCACTGCAATACTTGAAATGCAAAGACTTCAGAAGTCAAAATTCCATTCAAAGATGGCAATCTAACCTGAAAATCAAGTAAGCTGCCTTCCCAGGTAAAAAGGTCAGAGGTTGAAACCACCCATACCCCAAGTCTTGGGTCAGGATGGGCTAGGGAATTTTTTCCCAAGCTCAACCCAATGCCATCCCTAAGCTCACCAACAAAGCAAGAGCTCACATGTTACAAAAAGCAAAAAAATCCTGGGCAAGCATCAAGACATAAGCCTCACATCCCTTTTAGTACATGTTGAAAAGTCAAGAGCTTCTTTTACAGACCCATACAAAAGATAAACGTATTTAGTAATTTCAAGAGTGACATTGCATTTCCCTCCCTGTAGCATAGAAACTTAGCAGGATCATACTAAATAATATATTTCACCATATACTTTAGAGAAATGAATGGTAAAAAGGCTCAGAAGACTGTAATGTTTACCACTTGTCGTCAAACAAGTAAGATATCTCCTTCCAACTCCCTTCTTCCAAAAGCAAATAATTACCTTCAACTATCACTACTTTGTGCCTGCGACGAGATAAAAATATGATTTTAGATTGATGAGATGCACAAGAGTTCCCCAATTTGGATTGCTGAAACAATGAAAGGCAACAGTTTAAATGAGACAACATACTATTGATTAGTTGGACAAATGCCATTGTTATTTCTAGTATTTAATGTTGTAGTTCAACATTCCTATATTCAAAAGGAATTACATTTTTCCTGCACAAACTCTTAATACAACAGCAAGAAATTTCATAAGTAGGCAAGCATTAACAATTATCTGAAATTCAGACAACTCAAATCCCTTACAATCATCAATGCATATATAAGTCTTCAAAACATGATTGGAGTCTATCGTATCTAATGTTGAGTTTTAAGACACCCCCGGAGTGGGAAGAGTGAAAGCAACCGAAACATCAGGCCTACTAGAATGTAAATACAAAATACAACCCTTTTGGAACAATCTTTTGTTGAATTGAATTGAGTTTAGCTAAACCAAGAATCCATAATATACCCCCAGAAACTGAAATACCAACATTCATTAGAATCATTACACTCATCAGAACGACCCTTGTATATCAATGATTTATAAACCAAAAAAACATGTTTCAATTTACCAGCTTAATTTAACCATTGTTAACAAAGGATGAAAAGACTCCCTTTTTGTACTTTCTGCATCAACTTTTTCCTTTCCCTCTTTTTGTTAGGGAGATAAGAGGTAAGTTATTCGAATGTAGCCAAATCAGAGATCCCATCTCAATGATATTTATCATTATCAAGATCTGCTAGCAATCATTGGAATCCACAGATAGGACGTGTCCAAAAAATACAAGATCAATACAAAACCAGCTTCTATGAACAAGATTTGTTGGGGGAGCATAACACTTACTGAAAGTTCACAAAAATATCATCTTCAACAGGATCACCAACACCATGGTCAAATGATGGAGCATAAACTGATCCCTGCAGCAGATATTAATCATTACAATGCAATTAGAGTAATTGAATGCACACATACTCATAATAATGGACAACGGCCAAGATTGGCATCATAATTCTCTTTCTTGATGCATATTTATTGTCAACATGGTAGAGAATATCAAAATAACTACATATGCTGATTATCCAAATTTCTAGAGGTGTATCATGTATACATGATTTAACCTAGACAGATACTAACCTCATTCCTCAGAGTCCTGAGACATCTCAGAAGTAGTTCAGGGTCAAATGTCCATGGAGCTGATTCACCAATGGAAAGATCCATGCTTTAATTGCTCCGAAGGTTTCAAATCAGAGATTACAAGATGAAGGAACCTCACCTCCCCTTCTTGCATATGCTTCCTCGGGATCCTAGAATGCAAGAACATCATTCAGAAAGTCAAAGCATCTAAGAGTTCCAAACTTCCAATAGTAAAATCCTGATAATTGATAATATATGTGTAAGCATGTGTAATCATATGTGCATCTTAGCATCTACATGTGTACACAGACTATTTATGTGATGGCATATCACTGGGATTGATTTCATTACAGACTAACCGATGCATCATGGGTACAGTGCCACCTCACAAATAAAGAAATGCCAATAGAGGAAATAATGACTGGTAAGAAACAGGAAACTATAGATGTTCATGAATGCAGAAATGATAACCTCCATTGCATCCAGTTGATGACGATATAGATGGAATCCGTCCATGGGAAGAACTAAAGCCACATCAGGAGGCTCAACAGAAGAATCAAGCAAAAAAGATTTTTGGGGCCATAATGTGTTGACACGCCGAGCTACCTCAAATGCAAGAGTGCTCTTTCCTGAACCAGGAGTACCAGCCAAACCCACGATATGCCTGCATGTTTAGGCAGATTGAACCCTTTGAAGAGAAAATTGCAAGGTTTGCCGAAAGGTCAAAGATTAATAAGGAGGAGCTTCTGTTTTCAGTGATGCAAGCAAAAAAATTACACATAGTAAGGTGTAAGGTATGTTAATTATTCTTGAGCAGTTTCTGGTCCCTGCAGGCCAAAGTGCACCACACAGTGGCACAGATGGGGACCACGATTAGGAAAAAAATAGGAAATCCACAGAAACAAGTACATGTTTCTATGCATGCAAAGCTTCATTATAAAACCTCTAACAGAGTATTTAGGGTTCAATAAACTCTAAGATCTTGACAGCCTGATAATGTACCAGTTCAGTAATGCTATCAAGTCGCAAGATAAGGAATCTACTTCTTGCTGGAATCCAATATGTTATCCACATAACAACTCCAGTTTTCTTTATCTTTTCTCTTATAGCAATTTTGTGATTCCTTGAACTGAAGAACGTTTTAAAACAGGTGAACCAATCATCAATTTTCGTCATCAATTGCCAGCAAAATGCCAGAGGGGAAGAATGGAAATGGTGTGGTGTCAGGTGTAGAAGGACAGCATCAAAGTTTCTCTATTTTGAGCATAAACAAAATACTTAAAAAAGTTAAATATAAAGCAAAGTTGCAGCAATGAAAAAAAAAAGGCTTCTGCCTATGGTTAATTATAAGGCTATTGTTGGAAACTTGAGCATGAACATGCAAACAGCAACTTGCAGTTATTAAAAGTAGCCCAGACTTATGTCCAGATTCAAGAAAATATAACTTACTTGAAATGGAAATTTGATGCTGCTGCTGCAGTTCGAACCAGCCGTTCAGCCAAAGCATTGTATACATCATCCATACAGCTTAAAGGGAAGAGAAACAAAAGGCATTCAAAAACGCCATACGTAATTACATTAAAGACACATAAATGTGCCTATTATGCAAACATGCAATATGCATGCAACCCCGCATTTGAGTAGTTCGACAAAATTATTCAGTAAAGAAACATATCCAAATAAAGTTTCTTCTCTGCCAACATCACTGCACTATCTTTCTCTGCCTAACTAAACAAAGTTCGAATCCCCGTGTACAAGATATGGCATATCAGCTTACCAAGAAAGTGAAACATGATAGGCACCCAAGTAAATTTCCAAAAAAAAGGCCATCAAGAATAGAAAACTACACCAGAAGTACCAGGTGAGAAAATTTCAAGTTCATGCACCAAGTTTCTGTAAGTTTGCTCATGAAAAGTGGGATTATTAGCAACATGGAAAGCTGGTTTACAATCACAATGAGAACATGCAAAGCTGCTTCAGTTTCAAATCCCCTTCTGTTAATAAAAAATGCAAACCAACTAAATTTTCATAGTGCCATATAAGGCGAGGAAAAGCTGACCCCAACCCATAAGCCTGACTTTTAAGGTTGGACAATTTGCCACATGGGCTATCTTCAGTAAGCTCTCGGCCAAAATTAATGATATTAACATAACATTTTTAAAAATTCTACTATTTCTATTTTATAAACAACTTTCAATCCAAATATGTTAGCTAGTTGACTTTTTGTATAACTTTGGGTTTTTATTTGCTAGCACAATTTTTATCAAGATTCAAGACAGCTAAGGTTCTAATTTAAACCCAATGCTTGCACTGACTTAAACTGTCCATGCAAAGCCAATACGGCCAATAAGCATTAGAAAACCCTTCAGTCTAAATATGACTTTCAAAACCAAATTTTCCCATGCAAATATTGATTAATGTGCTTAAATGCAGCTGATACTGACATTAGGGGTCAACAATCAAAATTTCTATTAGAAAAAGGACAATACATGGGCTGTAAGAACTCTTAACTTATTTAATTCGATCATTAGGAAATAAAGGAAATAAGGGAGGGGTAATCATATATTAGAAAGAGACTCTGATGCGTTCGTGCTCCAATAACATGAAGCACTTAACTCACTGNCTTAGAATTTGATTTGAGACCCTTGTATGGTCTGAAGATAAAGATCAGAAAATGTTATGAGACTTAACTAAACAGCCTAGTTACTCAGGTGTAGATAGGAGCTGTCAATCCAAGTAAGAAAACCCTCATCTCGATTTTGAGCCAAACTTAGATCTACTTGTGCTTGTATTTTGAAACTCTCATTAAACACCTCGTGTTAGATATTGGATTAAATCTCAGTTCGATTACAGGGTTAAAACTTACTACACGTTCGGGCCCTATTTATTTGGTTATATGATTTCAAAAATAATTATACGAAATAAAACACAGTAAAACTTGATTGAATAATAATTCAAAAAATAATGAAAATAGAAATGTTGTATTGGTGTTGATGTTGGTAGAAGGGTAGTAAGAGTGTGGTGGTGGAATTATGGTGGTGTTATTTTCTAAATTTTGGAAATGTTGTTTCTAAAAACNAGAAAACCGCTCAGGAGTGAACCACCTTCCCACGGAAGGACAGGCTAGTGGGTACCTCTTTCATAGCAAGTCAAGACTTATATGACAGGAAAGAAGACGACTATCTCTCAATGTGAGACGAGAGGTTAAAGGCTACTGAAGACTCGGTCCAAATCAACCAAAATCCTTTCGTGGGGAGGTGGTTCACCCCTTACAGACAACTTGTTTTAAGTTTAAATGGGCACTTGGAATTTTGCCTAGCAACATCAAGAAGNACTAATACTAAAAATCTCAATTAAAATCGTAGATACGTTTCTACAAACTCGTCGGAGATAAACACTTATGCTCCGTTTGGTGGGAATGATGGAAAATATGAGAGACACTTTTTATCATTTAAGAAAGAAAAGTAAGAATAGTATACATTTTATCCTTTGTGTTTGATAGGATAGATGAAAAATAAAAATGATTAATTTTTTTTTTATGCTTGGTAAGATGGAAAAAAATGTATACATAATATTTGTGTATATCAAAGGATATATAAACAAATAAGATACAGATCAACATAAATAATTAACTTTTCATCTATTTTCTTTCTAATTTTGGAGAAATTTATTTTAGTAAGTTAGAAAGAAAGTTCATTTATCCACTTTTTCATCCTTCCTATTTTTCTTCCTTATCAAGTATGATATTTTATCTATCGTTCTAATTTTTCGTTATTTCATTTTTCTATCGTACCAAACGAAATATTAGATCACAAATGCCATAAACAAAATGTCTTTAATCCGTATGAATCAATAGTCCGTGCACATGAACCTATTGACCAAAATCAACACAACCTGGATCAAAATTTTCAACTATCCACGGCAGAAAATACCAACTCCTCGTCATGACATAAGAATGAAGGAATGGTCCTCGACCGGCAGGCCTGGAGGTCAAAGGGACGGCTGGTTTAAGGTCAGACTGCCAACTGGCCCACTCTCACACAATGCCAAAGTCTCTCTTCAAAAGTCTCAAGCAATACATTGAAGTCTTGCCAAGTGGAAAAGATCCAATGCTCAGCCTGGATGATTACGTGGTAGATTTTTTATTCAAGTTTAGACGTGGCAGAAGTTTGTATGCACTCAAACAACTTAGAATGTTTATTCTGCTCTGCTTACCCATAAAATCGACTTTAAATTTGATTGATTTTACAATTTGAAAAAATCTAATAAAAAATCTAAGTTGAACCCGAGTCGAGTTCGAACAACTTGGATCATTAGAAAGTCTATCCTTGGATTATATATCCCAATTCTTAATAAAACTCTATACAGCAATGTAAAGGGAGAAAACCGCTCAGGAGTGAACCACCTTCCCACGGAAGGACAGGCTAGTGGGTACCTCTTTCATAGCAAGTCAAGACTTATATGACAGGAAAGAAGACGACTATCTCTCAATGTGAGACGAGAGGTTAAAGGCTACTGAAGACTCGGTCCAAATCAACCAAAATCCTTTCGTGGGGAGGTGGTTCACCCCTTACAGACAACTTGTTTTAAGTTTAAATGGGCACTTGGAATTTTGCCTAGCAACATCAAGAAGACTGGAGACCTCTTCCATTCCATGCCCACACCAAACTCAATTCCTAAATCAGCGTTTTTGGATACACACGTTAACTTTTCCTCTTACACTGATTGTCGGTCTTTTGCCGTCAATTACCATCTCTCTCTCTCCTCGTCAGCAACGCCTAATCGGACGGTTGAGATCAATCAAAGAAGTTGACTTTCAACATAGAAAATAATATTATTCCTAAAGTTGAAACGTACCCATGACTCTACGCCAATTGTTCAACGCGTTCCCCTCGTTCAAAGCTATGACATTGCACATTTTGATTTTTTTTCCCCAAAGTTCTTTGATCATCTTTTATATATATATATATAAAACAGAATAAATTTCAATAAGTTCATCCGACAGTTTTAAATAGACTCATTCAATAACTACTAACATCCCTTCAAAAATCATTCATAGTGTACTATGGCTTTAAATATAGATTAATTGAACTTAATTTTGTACAAGATAGTAAAAAATAATATTATAATTTACAGTTTAATGGAATAAATGATTCTTGATAGAGTATAATAGAAAATTAACGACGGCTTCGTGCGATTAACAAGATTTATAGTTTGATATGTCATAAATTATTTTATCTCAGTTGTTTCTTCATTTCATTTGAGTAGAAAATAAGAGAAAAGAAAATGATGAAATTGGGAAATAAGTAAAGAAAAAAGAGTGGGAAGTCGGTGAGAATAATGGGGGAGGGACATATGTGTAAGACCATTGATTGAGTGAAAGATAGTTTTTATAAAAAAGAAAAATCTAAATTCTAAAAAACTATAGAATAAGGACAGATTTATTCTCTCAACACTAAATTGTTTGCTATAGTAGATAACTAGCAACCGTCCCATGCGATAAACAAAAATTTTAGTATCTCTTCATTGCTACCGCTACCCCTACTACTAGCTCATGTTAACATTATTAGAAAATTACTTACTAATATGTTAAATTGATTTTTTTATACAAATTAAAATGTAAAATAATTAATAAAGATGATAAAAAATTCAAATGAGAAATACTTATCAAGAAATTATAAGTGGTTATATGAGCCGTATGTATGTTTGGAATTCAATTGTAGGATACAAATTAAATAATTTAAAAATAATAAATAATAGAATTTGAGGAGGAAAACATCTCAATATAAATAGAATTCATGTAATCGATCCCAATAATTTGATTAAAAGTTTTGTTGGGGATATCACTAGATTTTATTACATATGGTTCATTTAAATATGAGAGAAGACTACTTATTTGGTTTGTTTAATAAGAAATCTAAGTGATTGACACTAAGATTTTGCCCTAAAATCAGATGTCTATCACTGTCAATATTTGTTGTTATCCAAAATCAAGGGTCCCGTAAAGCTTGGATTTTTGTGGTAGCCTCACACGCAAAAGATCCCATTCGTTGTAGATAAAGTATGATTAAAACAATAACCTAACATTTTCTTCATTCATTAGTGCCCCCCATACCCATGCAGGTTTGGTAATTGTCCATACAAACTATGAGTAATGTTAGATGAATTTAAAAATTAGATTTGATAATTTTAACTATTGAATATAGATAATGGTCTTAATAAATGTTAGGACCCACAGTGAAATCAATAGTTATAATTATCAAGTCTACTTTTAAAGTTCATGTAGTATTACTCTACAAACTATTGGATGAAATTTGACACGAAATTATTGAGCATGCGTTTAATTTTAATGACAAAGTGATTTGACAGAGTCTCTTAATAAATGAATCGACTTTAACTTTGTAAAAAACAAGCACCAACTCTGTAATATATATATATATTAGTCATAATCCGTACCTGAAGACACGATAAAATATAAAATTTAAACGTCCAAAAAATCAATCTCATTATATTAATTTTTTTTTCAAAATATATTAATTACAAATTAATCAAATATTAAATGATTAAATATATGATAAAAATGAGTGATATGATGTTTTTAGGGAAGAAATATATAAATGATTAAACATATGATAAAAATAAGTGATATAATTTCACGTTTGAGTCCGATAAAAGGATGATGGATGAGATAAGTGATTAATGATAATTTTGAGGAAAAAAATATGATTGAAACAAAATTCAAATACACTCCTATTTTATTATATATATGATTAAAAATGATAGTTAGGTCGTGAATTGAATGATGCTTTTAACACAAAACGATTGAAACATAATATCAGCTCGATTTAACACGGCCGATTGTCAATCTTTAAACATAATACGACCTTGACATGACACGATGACATAGTTATCTCAGTATATTTAAATGACCCAACCTCTGCATGCGATAGTAACCAAGGTAATTATATGGATTATCACTGATAAGAGGCTACCTATTTATTAGTTAACTAATTATGAACATCGCAGTTAATTTCGAGCTTTTCGGGAACTTAAAAGCTTCTGTCTCACCTTCTGAGACCATTTGATTACTTTTCACTTGCTACAAAAGAGATCAAAAGAACTTAAACTCTAAAGTTACGTAGGTATTTGTTCCAATGGTGCACTTACCTTGTAAAAAATTAATTTTATGAGATCAAGGGTGAAAGTCTTTTGAGAGACAAAAGCGTGATTTGTTGATAGGACGGATTTCAATTATTTAGACGAACTATATCAAAATCTCTTATGTAGGTCTAAATCTCCACCGAAGTGCAAGTGAGGGATCGATTCATGCACCCAAGATTTGCCCTTGGTTCTACTCAAATTCACAAACCTGAGCAAATTAAGTGTCTCTTTCTCGTCCAGATTAGATCAGGAATTTCTCTCATCATAAAAAAAAAAAAAAAAAGAAGTTGCACATATAGAAATGGAAGCTACCATTTTTCCTAAAAATATTAAAAAAAAAATTGGTATAAAATAATCAATGGTGGCATAATTTTTCAACCCAGGATTTAGAATTTGCTGGGAATAATTGAATTGTAAGCTATGCGTGCAAGAAATTTCTAGGAAAAGCTTTTGATATTAAACCATAGAAAAAATAAGCCGGCATCCTATAACTTTCTCGTATTTGTTTTTTTTTTCAACCGTTGACATTCAAAATTCGATAGTCATTGGCGTGCGGTACACTTCTCTCTCCTCTCTTTCCTAGCCCTTTACATCCCAATTTGCTAACCTTTTCTTCTTCCACATGCGGCCATGCACATACATATATAAACACCTACTTACTTTAAAAAAAATTTATTACACACCCAATTTCCAAAACCCTAATCCACATAACTCTCTCTCATCATGGCTTCATCTTCATCATCTTTGAAACCTCTACATCTTCCATGGCACTTTTTATATGTTCTCTTTCTTCTCTTCCTTCTTATTAATTCGTGTTTCGCAATGAGAACCGGGAGGATGATGATGGGGGAAGGAATTTCAAAAGGGTCATTGGAGCATATGAAGCACTCTCGATTGATACAAGAAAGTGGGTATCGATATCGTAGCTTGGTATTCCAAAAATTACCAAAAGGGGTATATGTTCCTCCTTCTGGTCCATCCAACAGGCACAATTCAGTGGTGAACTCTTCTCCTCAAAACTGAAAAGGCAAACGAACATTCATCTATACACTTTTGTTTATTTTCTTTTTGTTGCTTAATTTCTCTCTCCTCTCTCCTTGTATTGTATTGATTAAAGGGTTGCAGATTAAAGATTTTTTCACGAGGCCTAGCCCTAACAGATCAGATCCCAAGTAGCTGAGATTTAGGTCTTGTGATTGGTTTCTTATTACACTGTATAGAAATTTAAGTTTGTTCCATAGTATTTTCTGTAACTATACTGAAGATTGTATCAGTCTACACTGTTCTATGTTGAGGATTTGTCTATGATGATCGGTTTGAGCTATAGCATCCATGAGATGCTTTGTTTTTTGCAGTTAAAGATCAAGAAGCCAAATTTTTTGCAGAATGATTTAGTTATATATATATATAGATATATTTCATTCTTTAGTTATAAAATCTCTCTCTCTCTCTCTCTTAGACTTTGGATGTTGATTTTGATCGCCAGCAGTTGATTTTTCTTACATCACTGTAGCTAAGAAGGATTCTTTTTTTGTTGGGTTGGTTGGAAGCTAAGAAGGTTAGAATGGCTATTCATGGGAATTGAAAGCGTCAGTCAACGGGCCTTGGATTAGTAGACTAGGCTTGTGGTGGCTTCACCAACCTTTTTAAATCTTCATTTCAATGTTGAAAGCAAGGTTAGGATTGCTTGAAACTTGAAAAAAAGCTTCATCATCTTCATCACCATTATGCAAACATTCATAGATATAATATAAATATATGTGTGTTTGTGTGTACAACCTTGCTTGGGGGCACGTTTCCCGATTTGGTGGAATTTTAGTCCAACTTTTGCAGCCAATGAATGTTTGGGAAATAAAGATGGCAATGAATGTGAAAAGTTGGTCATAACATAAAGATAAATTATTAGAGAATAGGTCAAAGACAGTGGTTTTTACTCACAAGAAGAAATAATGTTAACACATGAAAGTTGAAGCATGTGTTGTGTAAATTTATAATATCTAATCACATAAAGTCTCAAATAACACACATTTGCCTTTGACCATCCAAAAACTGCCAAAAAGTTTGTGGGCTGGTAAAGGGGAAAGTTTGGTTTGTTGTTGTCACCAAGTTGTGGGGCATCAAAATTTGTTGAGTTCATATTATGTATAAATCGTACATAATAAGATTTGTATGGGACCTCGTAATATTTGTGTGAAGAAATTCTTAAATGGGTTTAGGACCAAAGTCTTATCCGGATGGTTGGAGGCCTTTATAATAGAGTTGCAGGTTGGTGGTTTGAGTTTCCCTCTCCTATAGTGTAAAAAATATCGTTGCCTATCTAAAATAAAATAAAATAAAATAAAAAATTCTTAAATGGGTTTACTGGTCCATTTAATCTCGATCCAAACATCGTACGAAAGATTAAACTCATACTTGATAATTTCATGTCAATCTTAGGGTAACAAGTTGTGTTTAAAATTGATAGTTCTAGCCAACAACAACAACCCACAAACTCAAACCTATTTATAAGCGCCTAGAGGGTCTGTTTGGGCTGTAAATGCCAAGCTTCTCTATTCTTTGATGCCGATTACCCAAATATAACACCAAGTTTCATGTCTGTTTGGCTGATTTCATTTTTTGAGCAATTATGCATAGAATTATAATGGGATTATATTTTTAGGGATCATTTGGTTACGGTATTAAAAGGTGAATTATAGAATTATAACAGATTATATGGCTACCAAAAACCCTCTATATTCCTACCCGTACTATTGAACTGATTGTAATATCATTTGGAGAGGTGATATTATAATTCAATTAAAGCATATTAGGTTATAAATTTACTATTTTGCCCATAAAATAAAATAAAAAATGAAGAACTAGACTAGATTGATATTTTTGATCAATATGTAACTAGTACTCTATTATCCCACTCTTAATCTAGTGTTTTACCAAACACTGGATTACAATAAATATCCTTGGTATCCCACATTTTAATGTTTGTGTTTTATCCATTTATACGAGATTAGTCTATATACAATCTATTTTTTTACAATACGGTAGATATTAGAACATCGGTTTCAATTTGGCACCATGAAGCCAATTAATCGAGGGGGTAGGCAAGGGCTCATTTACATGCCAATGTTTTCACTCGCTATGTTCGTTATATATTATATGGGTACTTATTGAGCTCGTTTGGTTGCCGTATAGTAAATGAAAGGTTTGCATTAGTTAATACATGTTAAATTTGTATAAGCGGATTAAATATGGGATAAAGTTAATACTAATTTTAATCCAATGTTTGGTAAGACACTCAATAAGAGTGGAATAATAAAGTACTAATTACATATTGACCAAAAAATCATAAATCTTATCTAATTATTAATATGTTTGTTTATTTGATGGGTAAAATAATATTATCAGTAATTCTCTGAGACTTTTTACCTCTGTTCGCTATTTTGACAATTAAATAGGGTTTCTGCTTTTGATATTGCGACGACAGAATCAATTACAACTTCCTAGCGTTCACTTACGAAACTAGGTTTGATCCATGGGCCAATGGCTCAAATAGCCCGTCCCATAAAATTCAAGCCCAAGTTTAAAAAAGGGCTTTATGGGGCTGGGGCTACACATACTTGGTCTGGTCCTGTCTTGCAAGATAAAGTCGTGGTTTTTTGCAAGGATTAGGTAATGGGGTTCAAGACCAACTGCAGCATAATGAATTGATTGTACATTGGATTGAACAATAATCTAGGCTCGATGACTGAGCTTGAGCTGAGTTTGAACAGACCTTGAATAGCTCGAGCGGAGCTTGAGTGTAGTCAAGTTCAGAAAACTCGACTCGATTAATACCCTTATGCATATATATACTACTGCTACTTGGATATATAGACTCGCCGGTCTAAGTGAAGAAGATACTCGAACCTTGTTACAGTAAGACGTTTTAGGTATGTTTGGTTTTAGTGTAAGGGTGTATATGGACAGTAGAATAAGGGAGGATATCACAGGTTGGATATCATAATTTAACCTGGGGCCCACATATACCATGTTTGGAAAGCAATTTTTGTAACTGGATAAATATTGTGGGCCAATCCCTACCCAAATGCTACCATAGATTTTACGAAAAATTATGGATAGGTACCATATAAATTATTTATTTGTGACAAAATATTACGCAAAAACTCTATTATAGATAAGTATTTATAATTGTAAATGTCTTGTATCTGGATACACAATGATAGTTTTTTAAATATTTATTTTACCTAAATATGTTTTTTCATAATTTATGAACAGTGTTTTTAGGCAATTACCTTATTTTGTGGGATTTGATTATTATATCAATAGATTCTTATTTTAATAGATGAAGACATTTAAATTTTAAACCTACATATTGTTCTTTCTATTCCACGTTTGATTTTCTATCTAAGTCATTACCGATTTTTTCATCAGTCAACAATATCATCATCTATTATTGTTTCATAGATATCTTAATGGATTTGTGATTTTATATTCGAATAACAACATCACGTTTGGGAATATATATTATATGTTAATGTAACGACTTGTTGATTTTAAATGTTAATTAGCGGTGATTATTAATCAACTGTGTAGCCTTCCGTTAGTGTCTAGTGTGTTATTACAATGTGACACAATGTTTTGTTACAATGTGAGGAGCAGTGTTAGATATAATTAACTCATTACTTTTATGTTACATTGTGATGTCATACTATGTAAAGCATATCATTTAGTTTGTGAAGCAATCAAGCAATGTAAATACACTTTTTTTGTCATAGTGTGACAAATAGAATAGTGTCAAGTGTGTTGTTACACTGTATTCTTGAAACCGTACTTTTGTCGTTGTAGAATATGAATAGGTTTCTTCAAAAACTCTCTTTTTCAAGATGATGAAATTGGTTGAGAGATTTTTTTGGAATTTTAAATCTTTTCTTAAATACCCATTTTTATTGGGGGAGTGAATTCTCTCTTTAAAGATTAAATTTTGAAAGAAAAATCATTCTCTTGATTCTCGTAAAATACTTTCGTTAATAGCATAGAATCTTTATCACAGAAGAGTGTATACAAGGTTATAATAATCTTTTTTCACTATTAGATGAACTCTTTTTCAAAATGTTTTTTAGAGAAAATTTTTTCATAAATAAGTATATTATGGTGTACCGACCTTTAAAAAATCCTAAATTTTATCATTTCTATTTGGGTTTATTTTAAACCATGTTAAGGGTGGGTTAAAATCTCCAACTATGATTCAAATTTAAATAAGTATTTGAATAAAAAACTTGAATTGATACAAACGGCTCCAATGGATAAACCCAAATTTAAAAAAGAAAAAACTTAAATTTAAATGAGGGAAATCCAAAATTAAATGAGAGTAAAGATGATCATTAGATCTTTAAAAGATAGTGAAATTTCACAATTAAAGATTTGAGTAATTATTTGAGTCTCCCTTAATTTGAGTAAAAAAAAAAGAGTCTCTCTTGATTTAATATAAGTTTGAGTAAGAGTTGAAGTAAGTTTTTTAGATTTTTTTACTCAAATTTAAATTTAAGTCTAAATTTGGTTCAGGATTAGAAATGTCCTCGCCAATAAAATAAATTATCTTACTTATTATTTTGCCCTCAAAAGTCATTTCAACCTATGGTTTCTTCACTAGTAGGGAACTTGTTATTGGGCATTATGGTAAATTTGTAATTAAATAGCCTTCAAATCATCCATCACATGGAGTAATGCATGAAGCCCACAAAATTTCAAATTCAATTGCCAAAAATGAGATTGGCTAGGAATAAACATTATTTTTAACCTTGGCACCAAAATTGGGATGAATTAGATTGGGTTGGGTTAGTTAAAATATGAAATTTTAAACTTATCATATGCACTTAGACGATCTGAGTGTATTGTATTAAAGAGTTTTTTATTTTTATAGTTAACTTTTTAAGTGAAGGGTAATAATATAGTTAATTTNCTTATCATATTCACTCAGACGATCTAAACACACTCTAAGTGTATTGTATTAAAGAGTTTTTTATTTTTATAGTTAACTTTTTAAGTGAAGGGTAATAATATAGTTAATTTTTTTTAGCGGTCAAAGATGTCGAATTAATTTACATATATTTTAATTAAATATTTTTTTAATTTAATAAAAGACAAATCAACCATAAGAGATTAGAATATGGATATGAAAGAGCAATGACTTAGAACGGCTATGGAAGTGTAAAAGCAGCAGCTATCCAACTTTACTTTTTCCTGCATCCAAAGAAGTGCTAAGAATCTTTGTATAGACTTGACCACTGTCACTGAGTGAATCCCAATGGATTTGTTTTGCCCCATCTGTAACCAACAATCTCTGCCTCTTTTGTGTTTTCTCTCCAGTTTTTTTTATATTCACTTATTTATCAAATTACTATTCTTTTTAATTATAAAAATATATTTTCAGAAACACGACTTTAACTGAAAACTTATTTCAAAAAGGACTACAGTTAAAAGCGTGTTTCAAAAACACACTTTCAAGAAAAAATTGAAACCCATTGAAAACATATTTCAAAATATATTTCTTTCAAAAGCGGATCAAAAACACATTAACTTGAAGTCATGTTTCAGAAACAAACTTTCAAATAAATATAATAATTTAATAAATAAGTTGAAAAAGACGGTGAATTGGTATATTTGTTTTGGTAAGCAGGTGGATGCATTAAAAAAATGTGTGTGTGAGAGAGAGAAAGAGTACCCTGGAAAGTGCCCACTGTTGTGGTTCAAAACCTTGACTATCCATGTAAAAGGATAAGAACTTTTTAGGAATGCTTTTGAAAACCTTAAGAACTATGTGTGCTTTGCATTTTTTTTTTTTTTAGGGTAGGGGGGAGGGGTTGGTAATTTGAAGAATCAATTGTCAAACAGAGGACAGGTGGTTGTGATCGTCTGTCTCTCTAGTGTTCAACTTTGCAATTTAGACTGCTGATTAGTGGCCCATCAAGTAGTCTCACTACCTAATTCACTGGCCGGCCAAACCCCTTCCCAAGCTGGCAGTGGATCGTTAATTGGTGGGCCGGATAGGCCTGATCCGGGAACCGATACTTATACAACTCTTCCATTTATATTTGTTTTTTTTTTTATTACCGAGTGATCAGATTTATGTCAACTATTTCTTCGAATGTTGATACTAATCAGTGTAACCCGAGTGAGTATACTTTGCATGCTAACGAATAACATTTTGATGCCTACTAAGGATGTTGAAAAGTAAAACCAAAATATTAAGTTGAGCAAATTTAAGGACTAAATATAGCCACCTCAAATGATGTGACAACTCAACAAAAATAATACGATTAACGGGTAATATAGACAAAAAATAAATATTTTTATAATTTTTTTAAAAAATTTTAAAATAANAAGAAAAACTATAGTACAAAAAAGGAAAAAAAATAATAATAATAATTAAGCAGCTACCATGCAATTGAGTGAACGTATTGTTAATTACTCTTTTCGTTCTTAAATGTCTGTCGTTTTATTTAATTTTTTTTGTTTCACAATATCTGTCATTTTATTAAATCAAAGCATAATTAATATTTTTTCTTCCAAATTTACCCTTATCTCTGTTTTTTAATAAGTGCTTAATAAATTAAATGTAAGTTAAGTGTCTTTCATATTTTTTTCCTTCCCAATACGTATTGAATAAGGGTATTTTAGTATTGTGCAATTATTTTTTACTCATATTAGAGTTATTTAATAGCTTCTTTAATTCATGTGTAAAAACTTTAAACGACAGATATTTAGGATCAGAGGGAGTAATATTTTAAAAATATTTGACTATATTTAAAAAGCAACTCTCATACAGGCCAGAGGTTCATTCAAATTGTATAATGGTGTCATTTTTGACTAATACAACCTATTGAATGGTAAGTACTATTGAGACATAAATCATAATTTTTTCATATGAACTCAACACTAATGTCTTCTTCTAATGCCAATTCATGTGTAGTCATCCACTAACACTGACACTGACATGAGAATGCATTTAGTCCCGCTTTACTCATTTAAAACTTAAAATTTACTTACCACGTCAGCGACGCATCCATTTTTGTTTTTTGATTGAACAGATAAGGTGTGTGAATTAATTTACGTGTATTTCAATTAATTTTTTNACGCATCCATTTTTGTTTTTTGATTGAACAGATAAGGTGTGTGAATTAATTTACGTGTATTTCAATTAATTTTTTTTATGATCCGGTAAAAGACAAGATATTCACGTTAGGAATAAGATATTTGTGAAGAATAAATCTCTCATAACTCGACTCGACTCTAAAAAATTGCCAAAATTCAAAATTAAGACAACTAAATTTACAATTTATCGTATTACTATTTGAATTACTTTTAAGATTAACGGGACATNTATTGTGCAATTATTTTTTACTCATATTAGAGTTATTTAATAGCTTCTTTAATTCCTGTGTAAAAACTTTAAACGACAGATATTTAGGAACGGAGGAAGTAATATTTTAAAAATATTTGACTATATTTAAAAAGCAACTCTCATACAGGCCAGAGGTTCATTCAAATTGTGTAATGGTGTCATTTTTGACTAATACAACCTATTGAATGGTAAGTACTATTGAGACATAAATCATAATTTTTTCATATGAAATCAACACTAATGTCTTCTTCTAATGCCAATTCATGTGTAGTCATCCACTAACACTGACACTGACATGAGAATGCATTTAGTCCCGCTTTACTCATTTAAAACTTAAAATTTACTTACCACGTCAGCGCCGCATCCATTTTTGTTTTTTGATTGAACAGATAAGGTGTGTGAATTAATTTACGTGTATTTCAATTAATTTTTTTTATGATCCAGTAAAAGACAAGATATTCACGTTAGGACTAAGATATTTGTGAAGAATAAATCTCTCATAACTCGACTCGACCCTAAAAAATTGCCAAAATTCAAAATTAAGACAATTAAATTTACAATTTATCGTATTACTATTTGAATTACTTTTAAGATTAACGGGACATTCATTTATCCTTATATTTAATCTCATTTTCGGTCAGTTTAGTAAATACCCATTTCTATTCAGACCCACCTGTTCCCACAAACTATATTGTGCAGTCCAAAACACCAATCTAAGGGCACTAAACCCAATTTCATAGAGAGTAGTTCCACAAGCATCTCTTGAACTTGGAAATTTGGGAAGTTACAGGCACGACATTTTCTTGATAAACTTCATTACTACTGACACATAAAATATTTGAATACCCAACAAAATGAAAGGCAAGTACTTTTGGTCATCTCAATTCAAATTTGCCACCAATTTCACCCTCACAATATTACTATTGTCTTTCGCCGAATTAAAGAGTTAATTAGTTGATGTAAATATAAATTATTTCAAAAAATTTTCACCGTTACACTAAAATAAAACTCTTAAAAAGTAGAATTGACAGCCTCGGTCTCCCCATGTATTTGATTGATCAAGCATTACTACTAAACCCAAACAACCACAAAAAGTGATTAAAAAAAAAAAAAAAAGAAGACTGTGACGAAGAAGAAGCTGCCTAAAGATAATAATAAAACATAATACCAATTTTATACCACAAATTCACCCCCAAAATGAAGGAAAGCAAAACTACCATGGAGAGACAAAACTCCATTATCACTTGGCTTAACAATCAACTCCAAAAGATTAAAGCATTCAAGCTCAGATGAAGCTGGAAATTACATAATATTTTCTGGGTACTCAAACTCAAACTCATACTCAAACTCTCAGCAAATAAATGCTAAGTTCAGGACCTCCATGTCTATCAGGGTTCATCATATAGAAAGCTTCAGAGTCTTTAGACCCAACAACTCTCTCAAACTTGGCTCTCATGTACATCAGCTCACCTTCAGACCCAACTCCTTCCCCGCTCTCCGGCAAAACTCCGGCACCCATTGTGATCGGACCGACGGCATTCAGAATCTTCCACTCCCCGGGCCCACATTCCCTCCTCATAGCATACCCACATTTCTTTCCGTTGCAGTATGTCCTCCATAGGGGCTCTTCTAGCAACTTAAACCCTTTCTTCTCCATTTTCTTATCGCATTCCAACGCTATTCGGACCAACCCAGAAGCCATTTCTCTCACTAACACGCTTGTTGATGTCGCAAGTTCGACTAAAAATGGTGGACTCAGTTTGGTATCTTCTTGGAAGGCGATGTGAACATGGCCTCGTCTGTACCCAAATAGAGTACACACCACTTTGGTGCCAAGTCCTTGAGATTGGTGCGATCGGTTCTTACCAAAACTAAGAAACGATCGCAATTTAGAAGAAACTGTCGTGATTGGAAGTTTTTTCTTCGGTGCTTTCAGTGACTGAGACACTGAAAGCACCGGAACGTTAAGGTCCCCAATTTTCCGCTCATCGTCAAATACCTGCGACGATGAGCTAAAAGTTAAAATTTCTTCGTCATCTTCATCATCTTCAACCTTCTTTCTCCATTGGAAGTATCTCCTAGAGAATGAGAAGGAGTCATGAGGCTTCGCCATGATTGTCTTCATTTGCAAAAAAGGTAAAGATTAACAAAGGGAAAGAAACTAACTCCTCAAAGATGGATGTGAGAGGGAAAGATACAAGAGAGAGGTTTTAATTCTGTTTTTTCTTCTATATTGTGGCTCTTTGGGGGGGTGATTTTATTCTTCTATTCTAGCCCTTTCTGTGTCAGCCCCCCTCTGTGACTGAGGACTTTCAGGAGAATCCTGACAAAAAGAAGGTGATCAACCCCACCTAACTACAACAGGAAAATGGATTACACAGAGGAGAGACAACAACTGGAGAGAGAGAAAGACAATAACTCAAGAGTTTTTGAAATGGGAATAGACAATAATGGAATCTGAGGAGACAAACTTTTGTGTTCTATCTTTATCTCGGTTGGGGGCCTAGCTGAGAACAAGGAGACTATGTAGGGTAAGGTTAGACTAACAATTTTTTTTTTTTTTTTTTGTCTTATTGAATCATTTCTTGTCCTAATTTAATTAGTGTATGATCTAAAAAATTAAGTTTATCATCGATTCTATTCAGACCCACAAGTTTAAAAGACATAAAAAACCTCTATTCACCTGGACATACTAAAATTTTTTCTTGTAACCCAAAAATGAAAAAATAAAAAAAACAATTTTCGATGTGGTACTAAAAAATAAAATTTCTGGGCTTGACTAAACTATCCCAATTTGCATTGGAAAGTGTTAAGGGCAGCAGGTAAAGGCACACCAATTCGTACCCACCAGCACTAGGACCCAACCCCACACGGTCCTTTAGTCCTTTCAGATTATCACTAACCCACAGCACCAGAGCAACAATGCACACATATCTACGAGCCTCCCATAGCCACCGTTGTGTTCTGTATCAATGTCTTTTACTCGCTTTTAGAGCTGATCAGTGACATAATTGGTCTGATGATTCAGTAAGTGTGCCCTAGGTTCTGTGTGCTTCTCTCTGGTGGCCACATTGTTCTGTAACTGCCTGTTGTGTTATTTTTAGGGTAAGTCTCATAACTGTCCCCTCAATATGGTGTTTATTTTAAATTGTCTCAATTTAACTGTTAAAAGAGATAAAATTAACAATTAATTCAATAGAATTTATCTCATTTAATAATTAATTTTAGCAGAATTTGTCTCAATTTTCGGTTAATTTTAACAGTTGAAATAAATTACATAATTCATGAGGCAAATTGAGACAATTGAAATTTTAATGGGCAATTTGTGACAAAGGTCATAGTTTAGGGGCATTTATGAGATTTACCCTTATTTTTATTTTCACTTTCTTTGTATACATGATGAAGAAGAAGAGCAGTACATGGACTTCACACCAACCAGTGGATTTTGAGTGAAACATACAAGTTTCCCCAAATAGTATCACCATGTTTTTTTTTGGTGTTCAGGAATTTTTATTCCTTATACAAGAACATCATGTAGATTAGTGTGAAACCTGAACTGTATTAGACATCTAGTCATCGCATACTTCGGATATCCTATAACAAAAAATTTTATATGATATTTTGTAGAGGGTACTCTTGAAATTTCTTCACACTATTTGTGTTTATAGCCCTAACTTTATTTTTTAACAATGCAGAGGTAATCTATTAGCTGTTTTGCTTGTATTTTACTCGTTTTATAATAGATTTGATACGACTCTGTAATCTTTTTACGTTTTTTTTTGGTTTTTTGAATGTAGAACCCATCACCAACTCTTACAAGCTGACTGCAAATAAACATTTCACATTGAGTTACAAAAAAACATCATCCTTGAACCTAGGTTCTGAATTACTTTCACTGAATCATCAATAGTTCACACCAAGCAGAAGAACATCGTCAACATCCTTCAACACCCACTCCCACCAACCTCCCCTCCCCCCAAAAGAAAAGAAAAAATCCCATTAAGGAAAGACAAAGTAACTCTAATGTGAAGAGGGGTTCTAATCATTACAGTTAACATCGAGCCAAACAAACTTGCCTACAATAGAATGTGGTAGATATAGTGCATGCAGCTACCATAATCATACAACCTTAAAGTAAATACCCTTTGAAGTTTTTGTCCCACCGACCCACATACATGTGTCTGTAAATTCCTTTCCTTAAGGTCAAACAAGGTTGAATTTTGAGATGTACCATAAGTTTCATAAACCTATATTTATTATAATACATTAATATAGGACTCAAATATAATATTAGTTTATCATATGACCTAACATAGTTCATGGATCAACTAATTATGATCAAACACCAACTACTACTGCCAAAAACTAAAGCTGCTGCTGTGTATCTCACCTAAAACTGCTCAGGAGATGGAGAGATCATGACATGAAACCAACCACAAAGGTACCTTTAATTAAGGTAGTTTTAGTTCTATATCCTAGGGATGAAGAATAATTGTGTGAAAATATATAGTCTAACAATTATATATAAGAACTTTATGGGTAAGTCAGTGACGTATGTTCACACACTATTGAAGGAGTTGTTCATGTTAGGCGTCATTCTAAATGATGTTTTGAGCAATGAATGTGTCATTTGGCATTATTTTATTTATTTTTTTTAAAGTGATTGGATTTGAAAAATAAGTTTAAAAATCACTGATTTTGAAAAATAAGTTTTTGAGATACATGGGTTTTGTAATATACTTGTTCTCCAAAAAGGTGATCTCTTGTGTGTTACAGGGTTTTTTCTTATGCTCTCTGTTTGGTATAATAGAAAGTTGGAAGGATGAAAAGTTGGAGAGATAAATAAAACATCATGTTTGGTAAGAAAGGATAAAAAAGTTGATGGATTAACTTTCCTTTCAACTTACCAAAATCAATTCCTCTAAAATCAAAAGAAAAATTGTGAAAAGTTAATTATTTATGTTGAGATGTATTTTATTTGTCTATATATTATTTATACATTAATTTAAATAAAAATATAAAGATAAAATATGTATTTATAAATATATATATATTTTTCATCTTAACTAGGAGTGAATTTTCTACTCAACACAATAACACGACTTGAACTCGACACGAATTTTATGATACGAAGTTGATTATAACTCGACACGAACTTGAAAATAACCTGACACGCAAACAAAAAATATAAAAAACTCATAATTTTATTACTAAACACGAATCTGACACGAAATGACTCAATTGTCACCCTGATCTTAGTCAACATAAAAAAAAAAAATTATTCATTTTTATTTTTTATTCATCCAACCAAATACAAAAGAAAGAAAGTGTATCATTCATATTTTTTATTCGTGAATGATAGAAAATGTATCCCTCTAATTTTTCATCATTCTTACTTTCTACCTTTCTTACTAAACAAAGCATTAGTCAAATATTATTACACAGGAAGAGACGACGAATTTTGCACCCACGAAGGTCCGACCGCTAATAAGATGTTGCAGCAGGATTGGAGGTCTTATAGTTTACTAATACCCAAAGACAGCTCATCTGTTGCTGGACTATAGGCCCAACTTTTATACTTCGCATTCCAGAGTTAAGCCCAAATTTACCCATAAGTTATGTTGGCTTGAACTGGGCTTTTCTGGACTCTGGTGATTGTCCGAAACGAGTTTCTAATCCCTATCTAAGGCCCGTGTTGAGTACCTAATTAAGCTGACTTCGTGAATCAAATAAATCGACCGAACTTCTCACTCTAAAATTGCAGGTTCGAGTTTTGCAATTCATATTGAGATTCGGTGCTTGACTATTATATTAGCTTAGCTAGATTTATTTCCGAGAGGAGTAACGGACGCCGTCAAAGACATCATGATCCCACAAATGATAACTTATAAAAATGGTCTTTGAGCATTTTCCTTTATTCTCGCCTCTTTTATAAATAGCAAAAAAAAAAAAAACTCAATTGAGTCTTCAACCAAACCAATGGAAAGTCGAGCAGAGGTACAATACTTATCAATTTGGGCCTCGTACTTATCTTATATACCACGTTTGTAAGGTTATACCATGTTCTATTTAAGTTCATGCTGGAAGTACATTTTTCTCAAAAAAAAATAAATTATACCAAAGATGTACAATTAGAACCTAGAGATAATTTTATTTTCTTTCTCATAAAGGAAGTTAAACACGCTTATATTGGGCCAAATGCCTCTCCAATCCATCGTAAAAAATAGTTATGCCAAACACTAGATTGAAATCGTATCGATATGTAGTATTGTCATCAGTCACTTGCTCGGCAAAGGTAGCTCGTGATAAAAAAAAAGATTTTTTATTTTTAAAAATAATATTTTATTTAATATTTATTGTTCTCACTTTTTGAAATGTCCATCGACCAAGCTTAAAATGATAATGCCAACGGAGAATTATTGACTTTGTGAATTTTATGGTGTATAAAAATGAAAAATAAAGATAGACGGTCAAAAAAATAAGGTAGATCAGTTGCCCTTTGTTAACTATAGAGAGAGAGAGAGAGAGAGAGAGATAAAGTAGAAGTGAGAATCTGTTGATTTTTCAAACTCTTTTATCGTGCACACACAGTAGTTAGGAGAAAATGTTAGAATTTTCACTTTTTTACTATTATTTTTTCTTTTTGTGTTTTAAATTTTTTTTATGATATTTTTGGGGCTATAGGCTCCAAACTATTCAATTTAAATCTAATTTTAATTTTATTATTGGGCTTAATTTTTATAAAAATTAAAATTTTTATTTAAGCTAGTGTTATAATTACAAAAAAAAAGGGCCTAACTAGAAGAATTGAACCTAAAGTCCAGACTTTGATGACCTTACAATAGAGTTAGCCATGTTGCTCGGTCATTCATATGCTAAGCTAATTTTAGAAAATTGAAAGAGTTTCTTACTATATGAACATAAAAGTTCAATGATCAAAAGATGTTTTCTCGAGCTATAGCTTGTTTATTCTGCTCGATCGATTTACGTGTTGAATGAAATTTTGTTTTATAGACCTTTCAATGTTGCAACTTTATTAATTGAGGCTGCTTGCACGCTTTAAAAACTATCGAAAGAGATCAAAATTCAAAAGCAAGATTGTAACATCACACAAAAGATAATAAC